AAAGAACTAAAGATCAGAGTACATAGAAGAGGCCCATAAAACCTTCAAGATTTGAATACCGTTTGTGTGGAAGAATGGGCCAAAATCCCACCTTAGCAAAGCATGGGTCCAATTTATCCATACAGACGGTGTCTTGAAGCATTGCCAACAAAGACTTTTGTACAATGTTTTTTTTTTTTTTTAATCACTGTGTTCAATGCTTTTTCCTTTTGCCATTTCACAATTTTATAAATAATAAAATTTCTGGATATCTATGGTTTGATTTCTTGTATGTGTGGATTACATGGATTGTTGCCGACACCTGGTGAAAATGTCATGTCAATAGCACCTCTAGAAATATATTTACAGAGAAAAACGGTGGCGTGTTCAATAGTAATTTCACCCGCTGTAGCTCAAGTCCCTATTTCAGGTGGCTTATTTGCCAGACACACTCATAACTGAAAAATATCCAAGAGTAGGAAAAATACATTACAACTTGATGATTCTCCAAATATAAGTCAACACTTTCAGATCTTGGGGAATGCGTGTTTCTTGGATAGAGATAATATAAGAGTGACATTGTATTTTGAAAGGCACTGTCAAACAGAAAACAAGGAAAATTAATAGGAGGGTAAATTTTCGTTATGTGGAAGAAATAGACGAGTCTTTGCAGTGATGGAGCTGCAGCAATGATCAGATGTGAAGGAATAAACCCAGCCGTTACTTTTACCCTTTGCTCTCTGCTTAGTGAATCTCTTGTTGCCAGTCATCCTTTTTGCATGATGACAATGATGACCATCATAAAGTTTAATGATAGAAAAAGAAAGAAAGAAATTAAAGTTTGAATAAAAATAATTTTTGGATATATCTGTGTGAGGAACTGGAAGCAGAGGATAAATATTATTGATCCATATAGAGGGCCAGTGTTACAGTCCTGTGTAAATGAGCTGCAGGAGGAACTTTAGACATATGATTACTCAAATCAACTAGAAAGTGATGTGTGCTTGGCAAAGTTGGCAAACCGCAGAAGAGACAATTCATCATCAAGAGGTATTGAACACAAAACTGAGAGGTCGAAATGAAGATATGCAAAAAAGCCTGGATAAGATAAATGGATTCTGTTTGAAGGTGTTCCTCTGGCAGCAACCACTGCAAAGTATAAACTTTGAGACGTTCCTTCTCACTGAGACGTGGCAGGATGTCAACACTACTTTACTGTGTAAGGTAATAGATAAACATTTGAACACAAGTAAGATCATCTTATTTTTTTTCAGCCTTCACTGAGTGGCATGATTCGGTTTGGGAGCCAAGCATCAATTGCAAGAGAGAGCATAACTTTAGAAGAGCAAGAGGAACTAGCTGAGGCGCTGCTAAGGTTTGCAGATCACTTAAAGGAGCTGAGCTTTTAAAGCCTGTCTGCTATAAAAAACTAAACACAGAGATAAACCGAGAGCAGTAAGTAATTAGCAATGTGTGTTTCTTTTTTAAATTTCCTCCAAGATATTTGATTTGTTCCTCCTCTAGAGAAGGTGTACTTTTACCCTTAGTAAATATAAATAAATAGGGATGTCCCTATACATTTTAATTTCCAATACGATAAAAATATTGCGTCTTTTTGTGTTGACTGACAATGATACTGAAAAGATATATCAGTACGAATTATACCAACTTTTCTCACTCAAACAGAGACCATATAGGTGTGGGAACACCTGACCAATTTATTATTAACTACTAATGGGTTACATACATTTTAAACAGAAGCAGATAGAAGTGAAGTGTTTCTATCAGTAAGCCAATATCAGAGATTTTAAATAGAGGACAAAATGTTCCAATACTTTTACTTTTGGCTGATTTCAGACCAATATCTGATATCAGTATCTCATCAAGACATCCCTATAAACATTTTCAGACGTTATTTTTATTATCCTGATATCCCTGTCATCTGAAGTTAGATTGAACTAGATTTCTGTTGCCAGTGGCTGTTTAAAAGATATTATAATCTAGAACCTTTAAACTCTAAAAACACTGCCACAACTTTTTGGCATGTTGTGATTTTTGATCAACAAGTAATCTGAAATGTCAAAAACTTGTCCAAGTTCCATCAAAGCGTTAAAATGTAGTTAGCTAAAAAACCAATAACAGACAACAAAGCATTGGTATGAATGAGAAGAAATGGCCAAAGTACAGTAAAGAGGAGGGAGGGTGTCCATGACTCTCGCTCTACAAACACAAAGTCAATTCCAGTGAAGGAAGCATAAGGATACCTGATGCTGCCGCTTACTCCACCTGCCCACTCAGGTTTCCCAGGAGAGCATTCTGCTAGCCACCAGACAAAAGCAGCGCAAAAAGCCAACACCTTTCTTCTCCCAAGGCACTCGAACACAAAAGGAGGAGGAAAAAAAGCGATACAACACCTTTGTTTGCAGAGATTAAAACATGTTGCTTTCTCTTGCCTCCCTCCCATCCTCTTTCCTTTACAGGTAACTCTACCAGGCTAGATATGCACTGTTACTGTCAATGAACTCTTCTTCCATTCTTGGATGCTCATAAAATCTGCCTTATTATTTTCTGTGTTTCCCATTGTCTGGATGTCTTTGTGGCATTTGTTGTGATGCTGCGAGTAGCTGATCACGCTTGGCACAGAGTGAATGTGAAGGGCTATCTTTTGCTTTGCCTCACCTTTAATATGGGTATAAAGTTGGTGATGTGACTAGATTTGTTGCCCGCCCTGATTGTTGAAGAAACTAAATAACTCATAGGAAATCTGAGTCCGATAATTACAGCTCTGGAATTTATACACACAAACACCTAGTAGCACTGAGGCTTAAAACAAATTTGTATTTAAAGAACACTTCAGTTTTGTGCATAAACACCAGATAGATTTACCCCCTCCTTAACACCTACGAGTAGTTTTTTTTTTTAACGAAGGTAAAAGCTGAAAAGTGCAACAAGACACACGCCAAATCACTTCAGAGGTGGCAGGGCGTTTGGCCCCAAGATGAGCAGCATCTCCACAGGGGGGTTTCTGCCAATCTGGCAACCCCAGCAGGAGGTCTCACTCTCATCAAGCACTGTGGGATCCAGACCACTTACCTACCTTCTATTGTCCATGCAGGCATCACAGTAGGACCCACAAGTTATGTAGCACTTATCCCATTACGCATAGCTTCAACATTTAGGACACACTCAGCAAAAACTGTTCATTTTGAGTTATGTGGCTAAAACGTAAAGCAGGAAATTGGTTATATTGTTTGGTTACCTGCTCTGTCCTTTCAAAATTCACCTCTATTGTACTGAAAGCAAAGCTGGAGTTCTGTGATGGTAAATTCATGCTGTTTCATTATTGTCCTTCCCTGAGGAGGAATAGTTTGAAATCTAGTCAGAAAAGAAAAGAACCTTGATAACAGCTTTAAGAAGATTGAAAGTATGGAAATAAATCAAAATTGGACTTTCCATCATTTTTAAAGGTGTCTTATTTCAAAGAGCTACAACTGGTGGCTCTAGTAGAGAAAGCAGAGAGAGGCCATTAAAGCAAAGGTTCTGGATGTGTGGACATAAAGTTTTTAGATATGCAAACTGTTGTTAATGTGTGGATTTTACTTTTCAGCCCCTTTATCAGCACACATATCATGATGGAAGCTACTTTACTGTAGTGTCATTAAATTATCACAAATCCTTGTGTAGGTTATTGGACTGGACATTTTGTACTCTGCTCATTTCCTTAAACATCCTCCTCAGTAGACCAATTATTTGAAGGTATAGTAGAAGATTTTCGCACATTTATGAAAAGATTCGCCCTCTCTATTAAAAAAATAAATAAAAACTGACATGCACAACCCTGTACCCACTCCCAAGAGGAAAAACCTATTAAACACGTGCTATAGCATGCAAGAGCCAATTTCTCCTTATGCATACTCTGTTTAAAAGGTTGTTGTTTGCATCATTCATACAAGCTTACTTTCCAAAAGAAGATTTGCAATTTTTCCACTATTCCAGACTCACGACCAGTAAGTGAAAATGTGTAGAGCATGTAGTACGGCCTTAGGTAAACATATCACCAGAATGATTGACAATTAGGAGGACCAGTTAGTTTGAAGATCCACCCGGAAAAACGAACATCCTCCACTATACCTTTAACTTATGAACTGGTATTGGAGGATGTGGAGACCTTGCTATCACCATTTCATATCAGTTAATAATAATTGAAATGTATTGATCTGGCAATGGAGAAATTTACCTCTGCATTTAACCCATCCCCTTGGGAAGCAGTGGGCTGCTATTGTGTGGCGCATGGGGAGCTGTTTTGGGTCGTCTTGCTCAGGGACCCTTAGTGCAGGCTGCGGGGATCAAACTGGATACTTGCAACCTTCTCCGAGCACAAGCACAATGCTCTAACCAAGAAGCCTAAACTCGCCAAGTTAGCCATGAGTTTGGGGTTTTTTTGTGCTTGCTTTTTATCTACCTGCTTCTTGATTTTGGACATAAAAATAAGTGCAAAATTAGGAAAAAACATGTGCCTTTAAATATCTGAAGTAATTAGAAAACTGTATCCTAAGATATGTTAATGGTTTTATGCAACTTTTCAGCGGAAATGTAATCAAGGCGACTGACTGCTCTCTGTGAATGTTCTTTTCAGAAAAAAAGCTGAATGTATAAAAGCTATTCCTCAAACCCTTTCTCTCAGTCCCACTTGGAAAAAATAAGAAGGGAAGTCATGATAATAAGGTGGGTTGGGAACATGTAAAGTTGGGTGTATTGAAGGGCCGTGTAAGCCCACCTAATCCTCCCTTGCAGCATTGGTTATGTCATTAGAGCTGTTTAGGTTGCCTGTACAGTGACAAAGGCCCTATTCACTTCAATAGCCCTCAGCTAACAGACTGCACAGATCTGCTGCTTTAAATCTGACCGCTAGAAGTCAGAGTGGATTTTTAAAAGTGGGGATATTTACAAACAAAGAAAATATAAGATCCAGATAATGAAGGAAAAAAAAAATAAATATAAAACACATTAAAAATGTTCTCAGCAGCTTTATTTTTGTGCAAATTTCAGGCAACACAGTAGCTGAGAGACAAAAGATGTCCTCTGCCTCTCAAACTCTACAAGTCTGGACATGGCTACATTATCAGATATGTAATGTCATTGTTTTTTTTTTTCCTTTCAATGTGAGAGAAAGCAGGTGGCAAAATGTTTCCTTTAGCAAAATCCACTCAAAGGAAACCAGTGTATTCTTACACAGACTGCTGCGACAAAACAATTTCTAATCCTTTACTTGAGGGACCAGTCTAATGTGATACAGTAGCAAGGAAAGCCATTTAAGATATTTTACATTTAACATGTTTAAAAAGTAAAAAAAAGAAATAATACAGTGCGATTTAGAACGGTAAATTCCAAGCATGTCCCATCATTCAAGTTTTTCTTGTGAGAGCTGACTTTCTTATTGAATCTGGTCAAAAAAGACAAGATGGCACCACGCAGTGTTTAAGGCAGCCTTTTCTTACAGGAGTACAGTTTACTCTGACACTTATAGGATTACACAACATAAGGGTTTTACTTAGTAATATATGGTTTATGAGATGGAAAAAAAAACTTTTGTCTTTCTGAAGACAAACTGCAACTGCCTTGTTTTGAGTCACATATTGTTAGATGTCTATGTGTGCACTCCAAGCTTGGGCAGATCCTATATGTTCTGTGCATCTACGTAATTTCCTAAAGGGTTGAGGTAGCAGAGATTAACGAGTTGACAAGTGTAAACACTGAAACACAGGAGATCACATACATTACAGTATGACCAAAACACAGAAGCTCTATTGCTGTTGGCTGCAGGTCTTATTGCTGACATAAACATAAATTTGCTCAGATGACAGATTAAGTTTTGATATACTCTTAATTTCAGCTACTATGAACCTTTCATCATATATTAAAATGTCTCTACCAAACACAATAAATTATCTTTCATCAAGCTAATTACCAATTTCACTGCTTCGATCATAATCGAAGTAAAAATACCTGAAATTGAGGCTTTTTTCCAGAGGGTCCATTATCTAATTACAATAGATAAGCTCAAAGCTAAAATAAATAAAATATAAGGCCACCTTAGCCCATGAAATGATTATGAAAAGTGCACTCGGTCACAGAGTACTAAAAAAGAAAGAAGTTATTTTTCTTCCTTCAAAGAATGGCTGATATTTAAGACTTTTGATATAAGACAAAATTGCTAGTTAAGATACGACTGGTAGTCAAAAAACAAAGATTTTCCTCTCAGTAATGCACCTAGACTTGCCCTGAATGAAAACTTTTTAAGATGGATCTCATTTGGGCTGCTCTTTGAGCTGATTCTCCCTGAGGGCGCCGGTGAAGGTGGCCGTCCATACATGCAGGGCCGTTCCAGCTGACAGAGTGAGGAAGAAGAGGAAGGCCACTTGGAAACCAAACCAGTCCACCACTCCACCGGCCAAAGCACTGAACATCAGCTTCCCGAGAACCTCCAGAGTAGCCAGGAAACTATAGTGGGTGGCCTAAAAAGAAGAATGACAAAAGAAAAATGTTTTAGAAGAAAAATGTTTGTTGCAGGGGATGATGAAGCAGAGCAAGAGTGAAAGGAGTTAAACATTTTAAAAAAGACACAAAAACAAAATTTAAACAGATTGATCTTTTTAATTTAAAAAAAAGAACAATTAGTGACAGAAGACAAGAGAAAACTGGACAAGAGGTTTGATATGCAGAGGAAGAAGAACCATAAACCAGGATAATAAAACAAGAGAAAATCCACCATTTTGTTTTTGTTTTTAACCAAAAAAGATCCTGTTAAGCGAGTAAAAGTCTAAAATGTGACAGAACTCAGAAGTTTGATTTTAACTCCTGTCCTAGAGCAGCTTCACTGGCTCTCTGACAAATCTTTTATCATCTTATCATCTCATCTTCTCAGGTTCGAAGCCATCTACAGTTGTGTTCCTTCATAATAATCTGACCTTCGATGGGTCTCCATCACCACCAGATACCTTAGATCAGCCTATTTTATCACTGTGGGACCTTCAGTCGCTTTTTTGTCCATATCCATATTTCACTGCCATCCAACCAACAATACATCCCATCTCTCTCACTGTTCAAATCCCAATCTGAAAAAAACATCTCTTTCACATCAGTGCATCCCATCTTGGAGTTCACTTTATCTATTTTATTTTTTTTTTTACCTGTAATAGTATTTGTACTGTCATAAATGTTTTATTTGGTTGTATGTTTGCTTTGAGCTGTACAGCATGCTTAAGTGTCCTGAACGATCCTTTAAATTAAAACATACTTGATTATTATTATAAAATACTTGAAAAAGCAACACATCATGGCCTGATCTTAAGATCAGAGATATTTATAGTTTGTTACCAAGGCAGCGCTCCAAGGCAGCGGCCAAGAGCAGCTCCTCTCGACAATTTCACGACATATGCCGCTTAAAACGAAATAAGCTGGACATCGGGCCCGCATCTATGGTGGCCGGCACCTGCTGGAGCTACAGTCACAAGGTGTTTTGAATGCTGATGTTTTTGACCGTCGGGGGAGCTGCAGAGTGCTGAGGACGGATGTCGGCGAGGCAGGAAAATAACAGCAGGAGGAGGAGATGCACGAGATGGAGAAAGCGAGGCTGCAGAGGGGGGCTAACTGCGAAGCTAAAGATAGATCCCCACAGACCATCGCTTCCATCAATCCTGCTCTCCAATGTCCGCTCTTTGGAAAACAAAATGGATAATTTCCAACCCGAACTCTCTTCAAAAAAGGAGATATGTAACTGCTGCGCCATCATTCTGACGGCGTATTGGCTGCGTCCAGCAGTACCGGACGGTGCTGTTGGCCTGGGGGGGCTGATGCTGTACCACGGCGATAGAAACAAAGAGCTCTGCGTGAATGGAGGCTCCTCTGAGACCGTTCACAGGCAATCTTCGGCATCTAGAGGGGAAGCACAGCCCTCTGCAAGTGAAGATGAGGACAGCACTCTAGATGCTTCCCTGCCAAATGCTGAAACATCCCCAGCCGGCTCCTCCCGGCCCCCTCCGGCTTCCACACCTTCTCCAGCATCGTCTGTCTCAGCTAAAGCTGCCGATGGCACCACTGCTGCTTCAACCACGTCAGCCTCTTCAACCCAGGGGGCTACCATGATCGTCATCACCGTCCTCTTCCTCCCCTGAGCCATGAGAAGCAAGTGCTTCAGGAGGCAGTAGTAGCAGCTCAACAACAACTGCTGCTTTTCTGCATGTTTCCAAGCGATACAAGGCTTTGTCTATATAAGACACAAACTCACTGCGGATCCAGACATTTGAATTGAGAAAGCTTCCTGGAGAGGTGGCGAAACATCTTCAAATCTTGGAAACCAAGTCCAGTGGATACTTTTTTTTAATTTTTACGGAATGACTATCAGTCAGAGCATTGACTGAGAATCTTCATCAGCAACTGCTGCTTACCTTATCAAGGCTACACTTTAAAAAATGAAATTGTCTAGAGAGCTGTTCTTAACGAAATTTCTTATACAAAATGACAAAATAAATCTGTCCAAGTCTAAGTCTCGAAGTCTATTTATCAGACTGGGAAGAGTCATGTCAGAGCCTTTAGTATTTATTCACAAAAACAGAAAACATGGAAAAGTGGTGAACTTGCCCAGGAGTTATTAGCCTTCAAAAATGACACCCAAAGGGCATCAATGACTCGTCCAAGAGGTCGCGTAAGTATTCTGTTTTTATCATGGTACATTATGTTCTTTTTTGCCTGATGAAAAGATTCACCTTACAATGGATCTAAATACAATCAACATAAGAATGATCTCGTTTTTTTTAAATATACTATCAAAAACCTTGTTGACCAAGAGGTGAGGATCTCAGGGTGACTTCAGAGAGCGAGAGCTTCAGGGGCAGCCTATGGCAGCGCTCCGATGCAGAGATCTCTGAAAGCCTGTGTGACCAAAGCAAAATGGAGTGTCTTTATCCTGAGCAACTTGTTTCACAGATTTTGTTTCTTTCTCCTCGGTATCCTTCACAAGCACTCATGCTATCAGCTTTCTGTTACTGGATAGCACTACTTTCAGTAACACGCACATGCTACTGAACATGTGCCAAGACAAACTGATGCTCTTTCTGTTCTGAGAATCCCAAGTAATAAACAAATAGATCCTTCCTAAGCCTAATAAAACTCTTATCCAATTTTTTAAAGTTTTGCTCATAATATTGATCAGAATTTATAACAGATTCCTGCTTTTTTTCGTTACTGTTACACGCAAAAGGAGTCACTGTCACTGCGATAATCATAATTTGTCACTTTTCAAAGATTGACTGAGTGGCGTCTAAACGGCTTTTTCTATCACCTTTAGGCCCAGATTTAACGGGGACAAAAGGAGTTTGGCCAAAAACATGAAAACAAAAGAGGAGAGCAAAATTTTAGGAATCAGTCAGAGCATTTAAAAATGAACTTGGTATGGTAGACGGAGGCAGATGAAGACAGAGAGAAAAGAAGAAAGCAATAAATGATTTAATAAATATTGATGTTGAGATTTCACAGTTGGAAACAGCTGGTGAGAAGCGGCAGGTAAAGCAGGGAGCAGGTGTGGTAACGCCCCTTTCTGACAACCCCTCAAGTAAAATGACTTTATATTACAAAATAGTACATAAAGCCAAGTCAGATTAGAGAAAATAAAAACAAGGAAAGAACATAGACTTTCCTTTCTGGATCAGAGGGAAAAATAAGGGATTTAGAAAGGCGTAGGATATGACCTAACACTGCTGAATAACACGACTGGCACCCGAAACAAATCAAGAGAGCACACAGTGAGTGAAGTCTTTGTTACCTGAATGCTTTCCTCTGCCCTCTGGGTGCAATGCATCATGGTAGTGAAGGTGAGCGTGGTGATGAGACCACCCAGGAAGTGTTGAACGCTCATGCTCAGGACTGCCATTCCTGCAAAAGCAAAGACATGGAAGGAAAGTAAGTCTTATTCAATCTCAAAACATCTGCATCTGAATCCAAATTTAACAGAAAAAAACACTATCCTGACGAATATAAAAGCTATATTACTCCGTTTTCCTCATACTTTTTCTATGTAAAAGTCAAAGTAAAGAGATAAAGCAGAAAGAAAAAGGTAAGATGCTGAGGAGTAGAGTCTACCCCCCACACATACATCTCCAAAAACACATGTAGTGTTATCCTCTAAGGGGAAAGTGGCAGAGCAGTGTTAGTGGGAAAACACAGAGGAACCACAGAGCCTATCTGTCTCTTCTCCCACGAACACTGAATTATTCACTGAAGACGGCAGAGTTTTTGCCGAATAAGTATCTTCAGTCAGCGATGCGAAGCTGCCGGAGTCAAACAGACACTCTGCCTGATCAGACTGGAAGAGTGGGAAGCGGAGTGTTATCATGTAATATTGAAAATCTGAAACCGAATGTTTTTCTGTTTCCTTTCTTTTTGTTCCCCTCCGCTTTAAGATTTCTGAAATCTTTGTCAAGCTTTGGAACAGAGGCAGAATGATGGGCCCTGACGTTCAGCTTGAGAGGTTTGATAGGGAAGCTGATATATTTGGTAAAGTCAAATGGAGGAGTAGAGAATGCCAAACACTACCAGACTGGCTGTCCAAGGTAATCAAATGTGTTATTTGTGTCAATTTTCATAATTTTATTTTTTTTTATAAGATCCAAAGGAAATGCTGAATATCTGACTGTCATTATTTAAACTGCACTGTTTGGAAAATGTGTTGAAAAAGCATCAGCTGGAGCTGCAGTTTGCAAGATTAAAGAGAGTTGATTCCTGTTGGTAAGTTTTATCAGCCCTTATTTTGTTTGAGCCACAGCAGGGGTCCTGGGGATGCAGAGGCATCTTAGATCTCTGTAGTTTGTATGTTTTATTCCCTTTCACAGTTAAAAGTCTTTGCACCCTTCATTATCAGCACATCAAACTAATTGTATACCACCCTAACCTATACATGAAAAAAAATATATATATATCAACCTATCTGTAGGTGAGAAAGTGATCATTCCCATTGTGAAATAAAGACGAAACAATGACTAACCAGATTCTTTGGAAAGCTGAATTCATTTTTACCAGCCAAAATCTGTGAAATCTAAATTATTTAATGAAACTAATCAAGTTCAAATATCTGAAAAAGAGACAAACCATGGCCCTACCTACAGAAATATAACACCAAATTCAAGGTGGAAGTTACACAAAGCCAATCTGAACACCACGAAGGACAAAACAAATTTTTGTCTCACATTCCTAACCTTAAACTTGATCTCAAGGACTTTGGAAAAAAAAACAATTGGTGGACTGAGAACTTATGAGGGATGGAACGGTTTTTGAAAACCGTCCGACCCGT